CCCTGACCCTTCCCCTCTACATCCCCCCAGCCACTGTTTTCCGTGCTGTAGCAGTGGGAGGGGGGCAAATTTAAGACAACACTCCGATAATTAGATTCTATACCTGGCAAGTTATAATAAATTTATCAATTTACCATGTATAGAATCTAATTATTGGGGTCATCTTAAATTCAGGTTTGACTTAAATTTGCATAAATAATTTGTATATAGAACTTTTATTAGTCTTTCAAGATCACTAAATAAAATTGTCATGGCTAATCCCATATCTTTCACTTTATCTATTTAATGAGTGCAACTTATTAAATATTAGTCCTGTGTTTAATATATATGAATGAACCTGTTGTTTGCTTTTTTTCATACCTGAAAAGTAATTCCTTTGTCAAGTAGCAAACATTACCCTGTAAGAAGAAAAAAATGTAAAGAAAATTTCAGAACTAAGAGCAGACCCATTTAACATTCCATTTTATCCCATAATTTCTACACAGAGTGAATACAGACATTTTTTTTTGCTTTTCCTTCTGACCAGTGATTTCCTTCTTGATCTTGCAGTGAAGTTTTTAAAGCTGAATGTTGATGTATGTCCACGAGTTTGACAGCCTAGGGTCTGCCCTCAGTTGTTACTGTCAACCACTGTAATTTTCAACAAGTTACTTATGAGAACATCCAGAAGTGCTTGCTAATTTTTGGTTTCAGCTTACAATATTTTAGGGTAAGTTGGATACTCAGCTTACCCTAAAATATGTAAGTTGGAAACCTGTTTGTAGAAGTTGAGGAAATGAATAAAAATGTTAGACACATTTTTAAATAGAAGATGTAAGAATGAAACCCACTATGTAAGTATTTTAAGAATACCAAAAAATGACTAGTCAAGTAAATATTTGCATGCTAAATATCAGGTTTCCTCTTAGGAAGCATATACTTATTGCTGTTCATTATAATGAATAAAACTTGAAAGAATTTAAATAATATCATAACATCCTACCCAGGTACCCACATCTATTAATTGAAGTCATATCCCTTTTTCATGTGGAGTTGCTCTGTCCTTCCAGGGAAATCCTCTGCTTGTTATAGCCTTTTCAGGTCTAACTGTTCATTCTGTTGTCTTAAGCTGGTACCCTGAGCCTGAATTTGGGATCCTGAAACAGTTTGTTTGTTTTTAATAGTGTGTCTCTATTTATTAAGAATTCTCAAAGACCTGAGTTCAAGTAGGATGTGTGATGGAAGCTACAGGTACACCTTGAAAGGGTCGGATGGTAACTAACTGAGTGAGGAAATAGTATAATGAAAGACTAATGAAGACATTGAATCTATATGCTGCGTGGTGCTCTTAAAGCTGCTACTGAACAGCAAGCCCTCCCAGCCCACTCCTGCTGTATGTGCATAAAACCCAGAACAAAACAGTGAGAATGCTCTGGGGCCCTTCACTCCTAAGATCTGTCTCCTTGAGAGCAGCAGCAGGCAGAATCCCAGGGGCAACCTTATCACCTCAATTCCTGTGTTTAGTGTGTCAAAAATGTTAGAGGCATTGTAGGTCTGTCCATAATTTGTTTTGTTTTTTCTAGTTTTGTTTGCTTTTGGTGCTTTTATATAAAGTAATCCTAACGTCAAAGTTTTGGCTACAGAAAAAAATACAAAATTTGGGCTGTTTTATTTTCTGAATTTGTTTGCCTATTGTAGTGTCAGTTAAACGGTTATGTTTTCTAAGATTGATGTATTTCACTGTGCCCAGTCTTTTGTCTTTTAAATTGTTTTAAAACAAAATCAGGCAGAAAACTGTGTAAAGCTTTCAGTGAACTATTTGGTAATTTTAAACATTGTCTAGTGGCATTCTAAGCTCTCAACTTTAGCTGATGGCTAAAAAGCAGAGCATTTTTAATTCGAGCATCTAAATATTTTACTTAAATGTTGGTTCCTTTGTGCATATCAAACTTTCAGCAAGTATGGATGCACCCGTAGATTCACAGCATTCTCCAACTTGAACAAATCACTTAATCAGCAGCTGAACAAAGCTTGTATTTCTAAAGTTTATTAGAGTAATTAATACATATTTGAAAATACTAGATACCACTGTGAGAACTCAAGTCAAATTTCTGTGGTGTAAAACCCAAGTGCTGTGCACCTGCTTCTCTTAAAAGAGCAGATATCAGTAGCTGCATGGGTCATTGCATAATTGAGGGCCACTTGTTTTCAGAAAATGCATTGCAGTTTTGTGGCATGGGTATGTGTTAATGTATGATACTATAGATGATTCGGGGCTTATTAAAATATGTATTTTTGTATTTAAAACTCTGTTCACAGGGATACTGATATCAGTAGCTTGTGTTTGATGCTGAGATCTGAGCTTTCTTTTCCTTAATGTAAAGTATGAATGATCTAGGGTACAAATAGTATACTTCAACTAAGCAAGTAAATGCATTTGTAAAAATGCCAAGTAATCATTTTGGTTTTGCTATAATGTGAGTAGGATTTATTGTTGTTTAAAATAGTAAACGATACCACATGTCTTGCATATCTAGGCACTGTACAGAGATGTACTGAAATAGACAAAGTCCCTGCCTCCCCTGTTCTTACAGTCTAAGGCACTTTGATCATACAAAAATTTGTACAATTTCTTGTATGCAGTAGTAGTAGTCAGACTGAAGCTAAACAGGGCCTAAAAAATAAAAGCAGTCAGGAACAAGAGAGGCCCTCCGACGACTATCCCATGGTCCTCATCCATGTGGGCACAAATGATGCAGCCAGGAGTAGTCCAGACTGTATCACGAATGACTACAGGGCTCTGGGGGCCAGGCTTAGGAAGTCAGGGGTGCAGGTGGTCTTCTGATTGATCCTTCCAGTCAGCAGTAGCCATCAGCATCAAGACGCCTGCATCAGAGATGTCAACCTGTGGCTCCGGAGTTGGTGCCATCGTGCGGGTTTTGGCTTCTTCGAACACAGTCTGCACT